TTATAGAAGTTATAATAGGTATAATAATAGTAGGCTAACAGTCATAATTTATAACAGTTCATAATAGTTCCTTGAGATAAAGTTTATTTTATGATCTGTATTTTTCCTCTTTTTCTTTTTCCTTTTTTTTTTTTTTTTTACTATATCAGTATTATTGCAAGGGTTTGTTTTTAAGATAATTTGATAAGAAATGTTTTAAATGAATTGCAGCTTCAAAAATGAGTTTTGACATTAATTACTTTAGTGCTCACATAAATTTTTTGCCTATTGAAGATAGATATTTCATTGTATTTTCTATTTTATTTTTTTAAAATGTTTGTTGGTAATTACAAAACGAAGGAAGGCATTGATATTTGAATTAGGCAATTTAATATGAGTTGACTTTGTTAAGGGACATTGAGTAATATAATGGATTGGATCACCTTTATTTCCACATACATACATTGCTCAGAGTTTTGAGATGTTGAATCTGAAGAAGTATGTGGGAAATGGCCCATGTCCAGTTAAAAAAGCGGTTTATATAACCATTGACCATTGTACATGTATCATTTACATGAGGTGCTATTTGATGTAATTATCTTCCTATATTTATTGTTGTCCATTCTTCTTCCCACATTTGGAGGCTGATTTTACATAGATAGTTCTTGAGGTATGATTTCGGCCAGGAGATTTTTCTTGAAGGAATATTATTGTTGGTAGTAGCTGATTTGGCTGCTGAATCGGCTTCTTCGTTACCAAGAATTCCGACGTGAGCCTTTATCCAATAAATGTTTGGTGATATTTGAGGATATTGGATAGTTTTGTTAAAAATATCTTGGATTATTTCAGATGTGTGTTTGGGATTTTGTAGAGCTAGTATTGCGGATTGACTATCTGAGAAAATATTGATTTTTTGTAAATTGTTATCGATTGAGTATTAAATTGCCATTCGAATTGCGTATAATTCTGCTTGGAAGATACTATTTTCCTTGGCGAGTCGATTTTGGAGAGTTATTTTCTGAGTTTGATCTATTTGTATTATACATGCACAGCCAACTCCTAAGTCCATTTTCGATCCATCTGTATATATTATTGGTGGAGATATATGACTGGTTGGAGGTTTTATTGTGCTATATATTTTAGGATTAGAGGCAGGATGTCTTCTGTAGGGGTTGACTGAAATTTCAAAATTGTTTGGATTAAATATTTCATCATGTAATATGCAGGATTTTTTTAATTTGAGAACTGTGGCTTTTGCATGTTCAGTTTGTGCTAATAGTATGAAGAGGTGCTATTCCTGAAAGTACACATAGGGCAGCATTTCATGTTGTTTTATAACAGCATTTTGTGATCCAGGAGAAGGAATGTGACGTTGTATATGGCTTGCAGTTGTTTTTGTTTCCGAACAGTCATAGGCTTGCGCCCAAATTTCTGCACCATTATAATACCTATTTTTGTTATTACTGTATTGATATATATAACAATATTTTTTTTGAATATGAGGATTTAGTCCCCAATTTAATCCTTGGACATAACGTAAGTTGTTTGTTATTTTTTATATTTTAGTTCTGATATATTTCATATGCTCAATCCAGTTGAGGTTTTTGTCAATGATTATGCCTAGAAATTTAAGTTTTGGAACTATTTTTATTCTATTATTTTCTATTGAAAATTTTGGTAGTCGAGTGATTTTTTGAGATTTTTTATGGAAAATTATAGCTTTTGATTTTTCTTCACTTATTGTCAGTTTCAATTTGTTGCATTCAGTTTTAAAAAGATGAAGAGTTTCATTTACATTATTGATGTAATGAATAAATATAGTTTCAATTTGTTGCATTCAGTTTTAAAAAGATGAAAAGTTTCATTTACATTATTGATGTAATGAATAAGATGAATAAGCATTAGATATGACAAATATCCAGTCTGAGTCTTTGCATATGTATTTGAACGTCTCTGATTTTGGCCCTAAGATGTCTGTTCTTTATTGCGTATTTCTTAAATGGTATTAGATTGTTGTTAGGCTTGATCAGATGTTTATCGTCTGTTAGATTAAAATCGAAAATATAATGATCAAGGGCCCAATTAATACAGTCCTACGTGCTTTCATGATCCCCTCCCCCAATGCTAACTTTCTTTTTGCGCGAGAGAAATGCAGAGTCATGAGAAATATATAGGCCCTTAAAAACATGGGCTCAAGACTGGATATATTTTTTGTAATGCTAACTCTAATTCCTGTTTAAAATTTCTACATTAATATTTGTCTTCTATATATTATTGAAGTGCCACAGTCAATATCAGTTCATGTTTAGATCATCCATTATTTACACATGACTGAAAACGAATTTATATTTCTAAGAAAATTAATTAAATAATTTTTCATTTAGAGGATAAGAGAATTTACACGCAAAATGCTAGAAAATTAAAATCTGAAATCTCTTAAAAAGGTATTATATAAATCAAGAAGTACTTATGAACCTTACACACTGATTTTCAAGTATCTTTAAGAATTAAGTTATACACATACCTGAAAAGTAAGTTTATAATATTTTGCTTGTAATTCTTTCAATGAATACAGTGTGAAAGCTGATATTATCACCAAGCCCTTATCCGCTTTCGTGGAGTAAATTCATATATATGCCACGCTGTGAGTAATAACAGATATTCTAACGTTGTTTGTCTTTACTTAGATATCTTATGGGTAGGTGCTCTATATTTTCTATCTCTTTGTAAATCCAGACTGCATTCTGGAGAATTCTGAAAAATTAATTTATAATTCCACTTCCAGAACCAAGTTATTTTGAATTCTTCAAGGGTAATGCCTTTTGAATTCAAACCTTCCATGCAAACTGAATAGGAACCTATTAACATGTATAATTTCTCGCTTTGGTTCTTATTCTTCCAATCATATGATTTCATATTAGTTTTATATCAGATGTTTTGTCCTCAGCAAATACAAAAACAACATATTTTAGTAATAAGTTGAGAAGGCAGAATCCATAATGCATGTTTTAGATTTTAGATACTTCATTTGCATTTCAGAACATAACATGTTTGTTTCTTGTTGATTAATATAATTATGTAACAGTCATTAATATAGTTATATATAAAAGTGAATGTGAATTTAAACCTTTAAAAATTAATTATTTTTATTAATTATTATTTAATATTATTTCTTTTTTACCCCTGCACCGATCAAGGCAGGTCCTAATTCCGGGATAAAATTGCTTCTTTGTCTGAAATAGAAGATGCAAGAATTTCGAATTCGCTTGCAATCTGCGTCATTCCTAAAAACAGGGAAGTCTGTCAGATGAACAGAAGCACAGTCATGCATGTCTTTACGCCTTCTGTTCTTCAAAAAATTTTCTCCTTATAATGTGATAAAAGATTCAAATAGCTAACACTTTTCTAATTAGCATACAAGTAAATAATTTTGTAAATACTTTTTTTGCATTGCTGATTTCATATTAAATTAAACAAAATTGGTTAAATTTATTACGAAAAAGATTAAACACCCTCTACATTTAAGAACTTAGCATTTTACACAGATTAGTCAAATTGGTATTGAATCTTCATATTACGGAGAAAATAATTGTAGATATTGTGACAAACGAAGAAAAACACACTAGCGGGATTTGAATCTGAATCTTAAATGGCAATGTAAATTACCCTAATGATTTATGAATATCATTCAAAAGACATGCAAAAGATTTATTAATACCACACAAGGTTTGCAATAAATTTGTTGCTGAATTCCATGTAGTAATTTAAAAAGCATTAAATTGTTATTTATGAAATGAAAATCAACTTAATTGACTGCTAGACAAATGTGTTCTATTTTCTGCAAAAATATCGATCGTTAATAAACTTTAAATCACAAAAAAAAAAGGAAATTTTCAAATGTATGTAAATATTAGCGATTTCATCAGTTTATCATCAGTTTTGCATCAAATCTAAAAAACTAAATTTTGACCGCAAGTAATTTATTTTTCAATAAATAATGTTCTTTTAATACACACTGTATCATATCAAGATGCTCATAATTAAATATTTTCAAACAGACTGTATGATGCAAAATATAAGTTTCATACAAAAAAGGAATATTGCAATAAGAGAACGAAAATCACTTTATTAATTACATACAAAAAATTTCATAAAAATGTTTCCTAGTTCAAGGAAAATCATTAAGCTCAATGGAATTAATTGTGGGTTTAAATAATCCAGTTTCACAGAGAAGAGTATAAATCTGTCAATAAAGCATAGACAATATTTTAAAAATACTTGGAAATGTAAAATGTTAATTTATTAAAAATTACCTTATTTAAATATTAAACAATTAAATTTAAAATCAAATAATTGTGTTATTAAGTCTAGTATAAGTATTTAGTAAATGCATATTAATATTTAATTCTTCTTATTTGTTGACACTTCATGCACTTCTTCTTATTTGTGACTTTACACTTTTCTTAAATTTTTAATAAGCAAGTTAGTATGATACAACATCAAACTGAATAAAAATATCAAATAGAAGAACATCTTGCAATTGTTAAATAAACGCTAATTTCAATTTTATGAAATTTATATTTTGGCTATCTTTGCGAAAGATGTGGAGGATGTTACATTGAAAAATGTTCATACCTTGTTGCATTCCCAATATGAAATGTGATTATTTCTTTAAAAAATAACCTTAAAAATTATTTTGGATAATTAAAAAAAATGTAATTGTTAAGATAATTTAAATTTTTTTTAATTATCCAAAAATGCGGCTTATTTTCTAATTGTACAAATTGATCAGATATTTCTAATAACTAATTTCTAATAATCATCTGTTTGATAGACACATTTGAGAGCACATAATTCATTTTACAACTTAATATTTGGTGTATTGCAAAGAGAATATAACATAAAAATTTTACATTGGAATCAAAAAACAGCAAGTATTTAAATAGCATGAAATAAATTATTAATGTTCAGTACGATAAAATATGAATGTTAGATTAAAAATAAAGTACTTAATAGTTTATTCTAAGCAACTCTAAATATTGATCTGTTTAAAGAGTTGCTTGAAATGTTTTCAACACAATTTAAAACATAATTTCAATGGAACTTATTTTTTAATTTGTGCAATACATTTGAAGTAGTATTTATGAAAAAAAGATTAATGTTTAAAATTTTTTATCTATAATTTGTTTTTTAAATGGTTTCAATTTGTTTGCACTTTTCCTCTTGGAAATTTACACGAACGCAATGAAATAATAAAACATTTAATAGCACACGTTATAATGTTAATATTTAAATTACTACAAAATAATCAATAAAATTTACTGCATTTAACTTACTTTAGTAACTTGCAGCTTAAGCTACATTTTTCAAAATTTTGAAAAGTTTCAACAATACCAAATTCAAGGCAATTTCTTTCGCATTTATGTACATATTTGTTTTCTTGCACAATATTCGCAAAACACATGGAATATTCTCATTTAAATTGAGTGGGAAAAATATAAAACCTAATCCTGAATTAGCTTTAATTTAGGATAATTATTAATTAAATTTTAGTTAAATTTTTAAATAATAAGTAAGGAAATAATCAGTGATTTTAAACATATTTCCTCAGCTATTTCTATTAAAGATTTGAAACTTTTAAACGTATACAATTTAAAATTTGATTCAATGTTTGGAGGATATTTATAATAAATCTTTACCTTTCGTAATGTCAGAAGAATCCACAGACATTTATTTCAGTTACATATGGAGCTGATTTAAAAAATTGTTTCACTTGAAATGTCTTCAAAAATATTAACATTTCTCTTCTCATGCGATACAATAGAACCAGGAGAGAAAAGTTTGCAAGAATTACCCACCTTCATTCAGCTGAGTATTAAGGCAATTCAACTTCATGCAGAAACTAATTTACACTCAGCACTTCCGCTGTTTATCACAGAATTCTTGTTAGAAAATCGTTGCAGTTCCTAGTCCCTTTGCAAAAGTTCACAAAGAGCAGTGATGTACGTTTGTGCCATCTGTAAAGTTTCATATTTAGACAATTTTCTGTCATCTCCTATGGAAGGAACCACATCTCTGAGACGATCAAATGCAAGATTCAGACTCTGCATCCTCCTTCTCTCCCTAGCATTTGCTGCTAGTCTTCTCTTTTTTAGCACCGTTGGAGGCGGTACGGCGCGAGGAGTTGATTTCGAACGTTCTTTCGTACCATCTTCCGTTTTCTTTGGTCTGGAACGTCTTGGAGCTGGTGGCTTACGTATCCTCTTATTGCATTCTAGACTTTGATTAGTTCTGGAAGAATTAGAAGAGTCAGAATCTTCGATATATCTAACAGAAGATTCCATTACAGCGGAATCTACAGATATGTTGCAACTGTAACTGCTAGTGGATAAGTCAGTCAGTGTTATTTCATCCTCAGATGAAGTGTCTGTCAAGATTATTCCTTGTTCTTCTTGAATATCAGTTCCTGATACAGATAATAAATTGTTCATAATGTGAAAAGACTTGCTCATTGACTCTCCGTATAGATTACAATTGTCGCTGTCGTAAAAACTGGGACGATTTAGAAGTGACATAAACGAACTCATGTTTTTATGTTCAATACTCATCGCTGTACTCAGTTAAAAGTTCAAATCAATCTCTCTGCTTAAGATTTAACAGGAACTTAACATTCAGTTATATAATGCTCACTAAAATGTCAGTGGCAGTGCTTAGAAATAAATTAAACAAGGTAGCTGCAATGATAAAAATCGCTGCATGATAATTTCTGGATTTATAAGCAGTAAATATTTCATCATTTTTCTATCATTTGCGTTTCAAGGAAGGTTTGTTCTCTTTTCTAAGGATCATAAATTTAACTTGTTTTATTTCAAGATACGTATTGCTTTGCGAAAGTCAAAAGAAGAATTTACATTTGATTTATAAACGGATTTTCTCAAACTGGTGAAATAATAGCAGTTAACTTCATCAAGATGAAGAAAAAAGAATAGCATTCAGTCCAATCACTTAGCAACAATCCCGCAAGGATCAGTGCCGCACCCAAGTATTCATTGCAGATAAAGCCCCCGTCAATCAAGCTATAACCATCCACTGGAACTTCCAACGAAACACGCTGTGTCACCTCTCACTGGGTTAGTGTGGATCTCTGACCTGCTCAATACGGTAGCGATGAAATCCCGTTTCTGACCTTGGTCTGGTGGCTACTAGTGGCCTTATAGTCAGTTCAGAAGGGAAATTCGTAACTTGTGCGGTGTAGTTTCAACTCCCCTTCTCTTGCCCCACCTGAGAATTCGCGTTCCGTGCAGTCAGCATCACCATTATTTGGCCAATGGGTGGGAACTGGCGGACCAATGGGATGAACCGCTAAGATTTGATTTTGTTTGCTTGATTATTTTTTTTTTTTTTTTTTATCTTTCTACATTATTTTTTAGATTTCTCTTTCAAACTTTCGTGCTTCCGAAGAACATAAAAGTATGCTACCTGGATGCCTTAATTCTAAATATTTTGCTACTTAATATACGTTTTCATGAATGACTTATTTGCTTATTTATTGACAATATCCCCCCTTTTGCATAGTTATTTATGAGCATTTTCTTTCACATTCAATCAAAAATCCACCCGTCTTAAGATTTGCTCAGGTTATATCCAAAGCAAAAAGTAAAATATGATAAATTAAATAAAATCCGAATTTTATTAAATAAATGGTTAGGTCACAATAATTGCAATGCCAGCATCATAGGTTTGTTAATGAACATTATTTATTTTCATTTATAACCAAAGGCTTTCATTCCAATTCTTTTGCTCATATTTTTACTCAATTTTATTTCATGGAATGATAATTTATCATTTAATTACAATTATACCTTTACAGTAATAACGTTAATCCGAAAATATGTGAACATCGGGATAAAATAATGAAAAGAATATTTCACCTTATCCTTGCATCAAGAAGCATTCAGGTTCAATTACAAATCTTAGTATGAGAGATGTCAAAATTAAATTCGAGTTAGAGGGCAATAGAGTTATACTGCAGCTGAATCGCTACCAATTCGAAAAAATAATATTTGTAGGGTCCATTTGAATTATATATATGTATGCTCAATAATGAATTTCAAAAATCACTTTTATGGACGTTAGTAAAAAATTTTTCAAGAAAAAAGTGCAAAGAAAAGCAAAAAGTGCATTGCTAATAAAATGTATGTTTTATCAAATTATTTCTAAAAAACATTCCGAAATTCTAAACTGGGAAAGATGCATGGCTTGGTGGAATTTATATTTTGATCTTTGTTGTTTGTTATTTTGAAGGGCTATTTTTTCTAAATATTGTCATTCTTACGGAGTTATCACATCTAGCGACACTAGGAAAAGCTTTTGCAAGAGACGAGTTTCTCCTTAACTCACCATTGGAGAGTTTCCAGCCGAAACAGTTTTGCTGGAGCCGATGTCTCGGCTAATTACGCGAGACAGTTTAAAACTGAACCGAAGATGTTTCGCTTGGAATTTTGTCTCTCCTAGGTTTATCCCAAAGAAAAAATTTTTAGCATAAGTAAACCAACCAGCTGTTCTGAAAGCGAAGATTTCGGGAAATGTTTCTCCCGACTCGCTGTTGAAGAAAGCTTGTAGATGTGATATCGATTTTATCCTTCAACCTTTTTCTCGACACTTTGACCATAAAATTTCTTCAATTATTATTTGATTCCCCTCCGCCCCTCCGGTCGCATTACTTCAGCATCAAGTTATTTTTACGCTGTTTTAAGTAAAATCCATATAATATCCCAAACTAAAGTACACCGAATAATATTATAACAGGTTGATTAGACTTAAGAAATTAATGACTTTTTTAACACTTAATTTCTTACATTTAAGAATTTCATTACATTATTTTGAACTATGTATAGTTTCAGCAAATAAGTTCAAGCTCCGGGAAAGTGTACAACTAAACTGCGCTACTTCATAAATTTTGAAAAATAAGTGTCGTAACAGACTGAGTATAATACGCTTATCAAAAAAAGTTTATTTTTATAAATCAAAAAGTCAAGTTTTCTCACACCATCTATGAATTAGAATTAATATCCTTAGATATTAAAGAAAGAGGCGTACACGAAGTATTCTCCAGCTGCAAACGATTTGACACTATACACGTCGGAGATTGCATTCAGTTTACATCTACAAAGTTCTGAAAATGTGAGGCAAAGAATGTATATTTATTTAAATTCCAGTGGAAGCCTGATCATTTAGGCTTGTGCATTATAGATGCCAGTAGAAGCTAAGTGGAATGCAGTAGATGCTTGTTAGGTCTGGTAGTGGTCAGTGAACATAATGTACTGATGAATATAATCATCTCAGTTTCATACATATTAAGTGCCTATTTACTAATAATTCGTCTACCCTTTATTCTTTCTGAATCTATTCTCTATAACACAGCAACGTTATTAGGATCATCGATGCCACCCACTTCTCTGTAATATAAAAATTATATAGTTGAACTTTTTTCATTGTCGTGTGTGTTCATCTGCCACTTTTAATTATTTTCGGGATTAAATTTCATACTTCTGGATTACTTCATTTAGACACATTTTACTAAATTTATATTAGGAGATAATATAATCAATCAATCTTTAGTAAATAAATTATATATATATATATTTTGCTTTTAATTTAATTTCTTTTTACAATTGAAATTTTTTATTCATGATTTAATTCAAGTCCCCGTTAAACATTTTTAACAATTTACATTCAAGTTACTTTAAAACAATTTTCGGAATTGAACTTACTAACTATAGATTCACTCTTTTAAGATAATTCTACTAAAATTAATCCTAGGAGACAATATAATCAATATTTCTTTAGTAAATAAATTATATATATATATATATATATATATATATATATAATATACATATATACATATATATTGCATATATATATATAATTGCTTTTTATTTTTGCCTCTTATTAAGTTTCTTTATACACACACATATATTATGTATGTATATATATGTACGTATATACACACCCATATATGTATGTATATATATCGGATCGGATATACATAATATCGAGTTTTAATGAAAGTTTCCCGCCGCCGTATTGTAAATATTGTCTGCGCAAACAGTTAGCGATGGTGTGTTTAATCACATTTTGTCAAACGATTTTTGGCATTTGAAAGAAAGCGACCTGCTTTAGAACACAATGTTGTGAAATTTGTAAAAAAATATCGTCATCATTAAGTACAAGGTGTCTGAAATGGAACTCTCACGCTAACAGATTAGAACCATCATTTACTTATAGTTGTGTTGCAAAAAGTTAGCTACAGAATGTCACCAAATCATGTGTAGAGCTTTAGGTACTAACGTTGTATCATATGACTCTATGAAGGTTTGGCACCGAAAGTTCAGAAACAAGGACTATGAAAGAGCGCCCTGGCCGGCTTACTGATGTTGATGCCTGCGAGAACATGTGGAAGAAGATCAGCATGAAACCACTCGAGAGTTTGCTAAGAACCTAGACATTGCATAAACTTAACGAACAGGTTCAATGGTTGAATGCCGCATGAGCTGACTCAAGCAGATAAGGACAAACGTGTTCGGGCCTGCACTATCTGCTCGAATATCAACGTAAGGACAAAATTCTGAATCTGATCGTCTATTGTTATAAAAAATCGATTTATTTCAACTACACAGGCCGAAAAGAGGGCTGGTTCTCGACCGATGCGCCCGTCGGTAGCGTCGCAAAGCGAAATTTGCCTAACAAATAGATTATGCTTTGTATCATGTGGGATCTTTGTGGTATTATCCGGGAAGAGACGAACCCTCGACAGTAAGGTGTACAGAGAAATGCTAACTCTTGTTGACGCTGCTATCAAGGAAAAACGTCGAAGTGAGTTCCGGCTCAAAAAAGGAAGGTTCTTCAAGATCCTGCAAGACCACATATGTCTGCAATCACTGGCTGAACTCTGTACTGACTCGAATGGGATCTTTTGCTACACCTAACATATAGCTCGACATCGCTCCTTAGGACTTATACCTTTTTCACACCTGCAGCTACATCTTGTTGGTGCTATATTTCATTCTGCACAGGACCTCTGAAATAAGGTTGATCTGACTTTGGACTCGCGGTCAATTTTCTTTGAAAGTCTACGAAAACGTTGGCAGAAAAATCGTTGATTTTGGGTGGTGGTTACTACCCGCACTAAAGGTACTGCTTTCATGCCTTTTTCCCTAACTTTATTAAGGACGTTTTTTGGCGTAAAACTTTCGTTACAATAATTATATTATTTGCAATGGATTGGAGAGTTTGTTGCGTGGGTAGAATGAAGAAACGTGGATACAAACGTAGCTGTAGATTCAATACATTTTATTACCGTGTAAAACAATTTTTTAGACACATATTCTGATTCACGCATCCTTATGGGGGCAATACACACCCTACATATTGGAAGCTTAGCACATTTTAAGATAATGGATGATACATAGAAATGAGCCACTGCATGCTAGCTCGAGGAAAGCAAGAGGGAAATTGCGATGCATGGCAGAAGAAAGCGTGAGCGAATCAAACGGTTTGGTACTCGATAAAGTTTTCATTTCAATTGAAATCTTATTTGCTAATTGTCTAAAGCATATCTGCTTTGTAGCGTTATGTAAGATTGTACGGATTAACTTGAAATGACGCAATTTAGATTGGCATATAATAAATTATTATTTTTAGGATAGAAATGCGAAAAACCCAAATTAAAATTATTTCACTCTAATTTGTCTTAAAATAGTTTTTTGAGTCCAAGATTACCTTGAAAAGAAATCTTCTGAAAATATAGATGTTCAAAAGTTACTGTAGAAAGCAATCTGCCTCTTAAACACTGTAATTTGAAACTCTCCTTGTGAAGTAAATTTGTCTGATATTAGCAAAAGTAAAAAGGTAAGTGACAAATGCTCATCAAGTTGACAACTAAAATACCACTCATGTTAGGAGAGCTATCAAAAAAGAAAAAAAAAAAAAAAAAAAAAAAAAAAAAAGGTTTCTCCCTTTCTATCTGGAAAATAAAAGGGTCGTAGAGACCTTTCTTGAGAAGTACTTAAAATTAAAGGAATGCTTTCAG